TGTGAGGGTTCACTTGGGCGTAGCCGATATCCCCCTCTTTAGGGTAGACGTCCCAGCGTCTAGTTATCGAATCAGGTTTCTCGCCGAGTTTCCCCGGTCGGAAGCGAATGACCATATTAAATTGATGTAAAAATTCTGACCATCGGACCTGTCGGCGTGTAAGAACCTTGGTAGTAGAGAAATACTCAAGATTCTTGTGATCGGTGACGACATCCACCGGATCACCCGAACCTTCCAGATAATGACGCCAAGCTTTAAAGGCCTCGAAGATGGCCAGTAGCTCTTTGTCGTGGGTATCGTAGTTGAGTTCCGCCGCATGAAGCGTTCTGGAAAGGAAGGCTAGAGGATGAATTTCACCGTCAGCATATTGGATGGAAAGAATAGCCGCAATGGCGTAATCGGAAGCGTCAGTTTCCACAATAAGTGGACGATTCGGCTCCCAATGGGCCAGTATCGGCGCAGAAGTAAAAGCAGTCTTGAGATTTTCGAAGGCCTCTTGACAGCTGCTGTCCCAGATCCAGGACGCGCCTTTTTGGGTAAGCCGAGTCATCGGCACAACGATATCACTATAATTATAAATAAAACGACGATAGAAGTTTGCAAAACCCAGGAAGGACTGGATGTCCTTAACCTTCCTCGGAACCGGCCACTCTAGAACGGTCTGAACTTTCTCCTTGGACATAGTCAATCCGTCGGGAGAAAGAATATAACCCAAATACTCAACAGTATCCATATTGAATTCGCACTTGTCGGGGTTGGCGTAAAGCCGATGTTTCCGTAACCGCCGAAGAACTTCCTTGACGTGTTCTCGGTGTTCTTCTGGCGTATCAGAGTAGATCAGAATATCGTCAAGATAGACGATGACACAGACATCGAGCATGTCAGAGAAGATGTCATTAACAAACCGCTGGAAAGCCGCAGGGGCGTTCGTAAGGCCGAACGGCATGACCTTCCATTCGTAAGAGCCGTAGCGGGTCCGAAAGGTGGTCTTCCATTCGTCACCTTCAGCGATTCTGACCAGATGATAAGCGTGAGCGAGGTCCAATTTGGTGTATATTTTAGCTCTTTTCGGAGCGTCGAGGAGATCTGATATGAGTGGGAGTGGGTAACGATCCTTTTTGGTGATACGATTGAGTCCACGGAAATCGACGCAAAGGCGAAGTTTGCCGTCTTTCTTCGGGACAAAAAGGACCGGAGCGCCGTGAGGAGAGGATGATGGGGTGATGGCACCAGTAGCCAGCTGTTTGTCAATAAAGTCTTTAAGGGCGACTAACTCCTTTTCAGACAAAGGATAAATACGGCCGAGGGGCGGCGAAGCGCCCTCTTCCAAGTCAATCTTCAGGTCGTAAGGTCTGTGTTCAGGAAGAGAATCTGCAGCTATCTCGTCAAAGACGTCTGCAAACTCTGCGTACTCTTCTGGAATAGAAGGATGGAGTGGAGGGACAGTAGGAGTGGTGGAAGAGCGGTCGGCGGCGCGGGCCGCGACCTCTGAGTGGATAGCACGAAGTAAAATAGGTTCCATACCAGCGTCCTTGCAAGCCCTGTTAAAGACTGCAGCACTGACAAGTGCAATGTCGACCTCGGGGGTTTCCAGTTGAGCAGCGAATTGAGAGACCGTAGGATAAGAATAGATGGGTTCAAAGGGGAATTTGGACGAAAGGGGCTTGGCCCGTAAAGTCCGAGAGCGGGAGCGAGAGCGAGAGCGAAGTGAGTCCCCAGGAGGGGTCTCCAGAATTGTCGGTGAAACCGACGGCGAAAGTTCCGGTAGCGGAACAGCGACCTTTGCATCAACGGTGTTGATAGCAGAAGGCACAGACGTCTGTGGAGAATCAAGATGTGAAGTGTTACGGAACGTAATGTTTCGAGATGCCCAGTCAATCAACGGATTGTAGCGGGATAAGAAACTGTAACCTAATACTGCTTTACAGGATGAATCTAAATGAGTAACATAAAAGGGTAATAGAAGCAGCTCGCCGGAAGGAAACCGAACGGCGATATTCGCCATATCGGTAATGGGTTTAGAAGATAATGAACCATCAAAGAGACGAAGATTAACGGGAGAGATTTTGGTCGTAGGAATAGAATTTTGAGAAACATAACGAGTATCGATGAAAGAGTCAGTAGAACCAGAATCAACAAGAGTAGGAAATTTGAGAAGAGCAGAAATAGGTTCGGCCGGCGCGGCCGAATCGGATAACGAGAATTCAGTAGTTAACGAAATTACAAGAGAGCGTTCAATGGAAGAAAGAGCGGACGCGTTGAGATATAACTCCCCAGGTGAGGTACGAACCTGATCAACGCAGCTCCCGTTTCGTACCGGGGAACAAGAGCTGCGGATTAGTTTTCCGAATCCTCTTCAACAACCTCAATGGTTGCTTCGGGGGTTTCTTCAACCTCGGCAGCGCGGCCCTTCGATTCTCGGGCCTTTCGCTTGTTACAGTCAGCAATCTGATGCTTACCACCGCAGAAGAGACAAAGGTTGTTCTTCATCCTTCTTTCCTTCTCGGAGGGAAGGACTTTCCCATCTGCACCAAGATGGTTGAACGCGGGGCGCTGACCGCCGGATTGGCCGGAATTCGAAGAGTTCTGGGGCTTACCATTGTTGTTAGGCTTACCACCAGAGAAGGGTTTAGGCTTCGGCGTGAACGGCGCCGAAGAGCCAGATGGCTGAGAGTTGTTTTGCTGGTTAGTAGAACCAGTCTTAAAGTCCGAGGAACCCTTCTTCGGGTTCCGAGCAATAAATGGCTTACCAGCCTCGCGCTTCCTAGTTTCCTCGCGTTTCCAATAACGATTGTCAATACGAAGAACCTCTTGACGGTAATCGGCGAGCGTCGCCGGCTCGGGCAAACGCGCCATTTCGTCCTTGATGCGCTCAGCTAAGCCTCGTCCATAAGCCCATTTCAGGGCAGCAGAATCCCAGTTGGTACTAGCAGCCAGGGTGTTGAACCGGATGTTGTATTTCCGGATGTTCTCGGTTTCCTTCATCTTCAGATTACCGAGAGAATCTTCGGCCTCGCCTTGGGCGTCGTAAACGCCGAAATTGTCCTGAAGCTCCTTTACAAGGGCCTTGAAGGAGGATGTCCAGGCCGGCAGCGAGTCGAGATCCGGGTCGAGGATATCAGGGACAAACCATTCTTTGGCTGACCCACTGAGATAGGAAAGGGTATAGTTCACCTTCCTTTGGTCGGTGAAGTACTTTGGACGGTCATTGAAGACCAGGGCGAGATTGACGAAGAATGTCTTGAGTTTTCGGGGATCCGAACCGTCGAAGACCTCTGGCTCCTTGACCTTGCTCTTGGATTCAGAGCTGTCAGAGGGACGGCCGAGAGCGGCGAGGACGGTACCAAGGGTCTCAATGGAACCCTTGAACCCCGAGAGGAGTTCCAACATAGCTCGTTGCTCGTTGGGGATGTCAGGAGAGATTGGGGAACGAGGTCCACCAGGTCCACCAGGACCGCCGGGACCGCCGGGACCACCAGGCCCACCAGGTCCACTGGGGTCACCAGGTTCACCACGCGGTAAACTGCCGGAATCGTCATCCAGATCGTCATGATTGTTGTCGGCGCCCGGATCGTCGGGGTCGACAGGAGGGTCTTGATCATCGTGATCACCGGTGTCCAAATCGAAGTGAGGAGGTGGGTCACGAGGAGATTCAGAAGCAGCTCGACGTTGGGGTTGTTTCCCCGTACGGCGGGCTACGGCTTGGAGGATTGGAGAGTCAATACGAGTAGTTGAACGGCCCCGAGCCGGAGCGACCACGGGGGGTTGTCCACGGCGAGGGGTCAGGACTTGGACAGGTTGTCCGTCCCCAGTGTACAGGGTGCTGTATTCGAATTGTTGTTCCTCTTCCATGGCTTCAGGAAGAGTAGACGTAGTTGGGACTGTAGCTGGACCGAAACCGCGATTACGGCGACATGGTTGACCGATAGCAGAGATAGAGTCGGAGAATGGGGCAAATGATTGAGCTGTAGTGAAGAAAGTATTTTCTTCGGAGTTAGCTCTAGATTGAGCTCGAGTTTTCGGAGGCATAAAAAATGATATGTCAGTACGACGTTAACGGGTTGAGTTTAATTATACTGTTAAGATCATGTACACCGTGTAACCGTGCCAAGGCCACAGGGTGTCTAAGTGCGGAAGACGAATGGGACAGTAGTGAAGTTATTAACAACACCGCCGTTACGCCGTTAGTCCCCGGAGAGCGAGAGTAGAGAGAGAGGAGCTAAGTAGCAGCCAGGTCGGGGCGGCGGTATCGCCGGTGACGAGGAGCGGACCAGAGAACGTTAAAGTCCTAAGGTCGAGGAGAACGTACTTCGAGGCGTTGAGCCTGAAGACTTAGAGAAGAGTTAAGTTGAGAAGGGAGATCTAAGTTGATCTAAGTTGATCTAAGTTGATAATTAAACTGAGGAACTACAGTAGCGTACAGGCAGTATTTATATCTACGGAGCGGCGCATCGGTGCGGAGCGCCAGACTAACTACTAGGAGCTATACGAGTAGTACCTGCAGGGTAGAGTAAAAGACAATAATGAGAGACTAGGACGAAAGGATATGTGTAGCGAGAAAGAACAATAGGAAGAGATTACAATAAAAGCAGATCTTCGGAATACCGAGCGGCGGAATGGAGGCCCGCAGCATGGACTTGACACTGATATAGGTAATCTTTCCCCCCTGATATAGATTATCTTTCCCCCCTGATATAGATTATCTTTCGCGTCTAATAAATGTAATCTTGCGCGCTTGTTAAATGGACTATTTTTCCTTCGCGAAACTAAATACATAAGCGCCGAAGGAGCGCTGGTGCCACTTTGGTGCCACTGACTAACGACTTTAAATAATATTCTACAAGTTCGGTAACGTCTCTATATCGTAAGGGGGACTAAAGTAACTCCTATGTGAGAGAGAAGGGAAGAGCACATTGATTCCGTAGCAAAGAAGGAAGAAGGTAAAGTCTAAGTACTAGTACTTGAACGGACTATTAACATTCATTGAATGGAGTACTAGTTTAACATTGATTTTGATACTCTGGCCAGGTAAGGTAATGCTGCGGAGGGGCTTCGATTCCTGTCTCTTTGCCAATTCGCTCAACTACGGACTGAATCGCTGTAGACGGTATGGGTTTTCGACAAACAGGAAACCGGCATACTGGACAATAAGAGACCTTGCCGGACACGACGAACTGTTGCCGCCCATTGCTGATACACCTCGAACAAACAGTGTGTCCACAAGCTAAGCTGAAACAAGTCTGGTCAGCAGAATTGAGAGGTCATAGTCAATAAATACATACACATGAGAATTCCAGGCAAGATCTCTGCAAACAGGACAGCAATAATCGAGCTTTTGAATGATGTTTCTCATATGTTTTATCTTCTTCAAATCCTAGACAACGATTATCAGTTCTTTATTATCAGTAAGATATGATAACACTCACAGCACATTGCTGTTCCGCAAGATTGATACACTTTTTTGTGTATTTCAATGAACCCTCTTGCTCGTTGTAGAGACGCTGAGAACGGGTACAGAACATCTCCATGTTTCTAATGATATTACCGTCGGTAGTTGCCAAGAGCTCGACCGGGACCACGGGCTTCGAAGGTAGTTCACTCAAAGAATGGAGGGGACTAAGAGAAGAATCGCTCTGGGGATCGGCAGAACAATTGGTAGTGGATTCCAAAGCGGGCAAAGACCCTGAGGTCTCCAGGACGATAGAGTGGCTTGAATCGGTAGGAGTGGCCATGCTCCGAAGTAGCATAGGGTGTCGACGAGGAGAGACGTTCAGAGTCTCAGGAAATCGATGGTAGGTAGATGCCAATCGTCGGGATGTGCGTTGAGGAGCCATGTTGGAGGGGGAAGATACAGTTGAGTGTACAGCGGCTTTTATAGATCGATATATTCTTCATCTTCTGCTTCGACATCCCTTTGTAGTCTGAGTGGTGAAAGGCGCCATGAGGCCTGAGTAGGAGGCTTGGTTAAGATAAGATCTACATTAATTAGACGTCAGTTGATTGTAAACAGTGATCACGAAATACGCCTCTCACGCCTCTTTATCGTTCCTTTCTCCTGAATCACCATACTATTATCACAAATATGGGTACCAGGCGCAGATCTCCTCTATGCAAGGCTGGTACTCGTCGAGCACCGAGAACTTCCCATTCTCGCTCTCACCCTATGGCTCTTCGTAGACCAGTATCCGCGCAAATGAGCCCTGCTTCCGTCGCACCAACCTCCTTTGATACTCCTTTGATGTCAAGCCCCAATGCTGGCGATAGCGGCTCTCCTTCGAGAAATCGACTAGAAAGCGTATTCGAGACACAGACGCTAAAGTACATGGAGGAATCGAATGATATCCTACAGACACGATCACAAACTCTTCTTCTTCTCAACCAGAAGCTGGCGTCATTGAATAACGAAAAAGAGGTATGTTCCACAAATTTGCGCTAAATATCTCATCGCTGATGCTATGCCTGGCCAGCGGCTTAATACTGAGATGGAGCAAGAGATAGCTACCCGCGCATCAGAGTACCAATGCCCTCTTTGTCTTGGATTAGCCTGGAATCCACATGTGTGAGTACCTTGAATGCTATTCTCTCAATGTCATCTATATTTCAACGAGAATTGCAGTCTTGTCTGTGGTCATTCCTTTTGTTCTAAGTGTCTCGGCCAACATAAAGCTGAGCATGATCGGAAACGTACCGCAAACGCAATTGGAACAGATCTAGATCCCGTTATTCGTTGCCCAACTTGTCGCAGCCTCATCCTTCGCAAGCCTCAGTTCTCTCACACTATCCAGAGTGGCGTTGAAAGTGTTGCGAAGTACTTACATGAAGATGCACCATCTGCACATCGGCTTGAATGGTCTTACTAGATGAAGTTTCGCTCGGGCGTGGAATCTGTGCTGAAGCTACTGCTATCCAGTGTGTTGAGGATCGAGGATAATCGGGTCCTTCCGTAGATGTAGACTTACCACCCTCATTGATGATTTATACCGTAGAGTCTTTATAAGATGTATGATCTGCATGCACTATTAATTCAGGCGTCGTCGCAGTTCAGACAGTTCTAAATAATTGCATTAAAAGGAAGTTACAAGGCGTGAGCTTGACCCACTACTACTGAACGAACGAAAGATGGACACCGAAAAGATGGACACCGAACGAAAGAGGGACACTGAACGAAAGATGAACATAGAAACATGAGTAAAATTAATTAGGAACATCTGATTATTTCGTGAAGGATATCGACATTAAAGGGAAGTTACAAGGTTTGAGTGCTAACATATGAAGAAACATTGACACCAAAAAGAGTGCAAACTGGAAACGCCTGCGTGCACCAATGGGCGTCAGGACAGAAGATCGTTACAAGACGAATATTCGACAGGTGACACGGAAAGACATGACTATCATCCAGTCGGGAGATTTGTCTGTCTATGCGCTGGAACTGTGCTTCGTAGGTGGAGTATGAGATAGAGGTGTTCCATTCGATGTGGATGGTCTTTATCGCCGGCGCTCGAATGATATCGAGTATATATTTCGAAGGGCGAATGTGAAAGGTCATACTGAGATGCTTCAAAGAAGACAAGATGATTGGAGATCTTCGAAGGTACTCTGGATTGAATGGGGGGGTGAGGAACAGGAGAATCTTTTTCTGGAGAAGCAGAACGTACCGTAGTGTTTCCAGGAGGAACGGTTGTCAAATGGTAAACAAAATTGAAGCCTGGTGAGGTGTTCCGAGATTCGAGGCAGAAGAACTTCCGCCGCGCGAGCGGAACCTATCACAAGCGTTGCGAGTTCGTGAAGGTCAAATGGGCATATTTCCGGATCAAGCCATCCATACATCCAGGTATGAGGGGTCTTCATTGCAGGATTATGGGTATATTGTGGGTCATGGCGGTATGAGGTAGGGATGAGCTGCATGAATGACAGTTTCACCTTATCCTCAGTACCATGAGGTAAGGTTTGAAATGCGGCGTTGGCTTCTTCAGCGCGCTGTTCAGGTGTAAGATTTTCATCGAGTATCCTTGCAGGAGATGGCAGCGTCAATTTCTCTAGCAGTTTGCAATGAGTGAGAGACTGAAGAAGTCCGTAGAAAGCAGAATAGGACATTCGAAGGCAGCTATGAATGGTGAATGAAGTGATGGTAGGAGAGAACGCGACGATAGCTTGGTTGATCCGATCCCCAGTCGAAACGACATCATATCCTCGAATTTCGAGAGACCTCAGGCGAATGGGATAGGGGGTCATTGTATGAGCAAACATGCTTTGAGCACCACCAATAACGCAGCGGACGTAAAGCGAGTGACGGGGATTGCTCTCCAAGAGTGTGAGGAGATATGAATCGTCTACATCGATGACTCTGAAACGAGCCATCTTAGCAGGTTCACTCCAATAATGGCACACCTGTGAACAAGAATCGAGGTCGACGCCGCGTATGTATGATAGATATTCGCCAAGAAGCTCAGGACAAAGCCAAAGAGGGATTTGTCGTGGAAGAACAATTGTCGATGCCATGGTGAGGGTAGATGCAAAAGACGAACGTGGAAGGAATGAAAGAAAAGTGGTCTTTGATATTTAGGACAAAGAAAAATAGAACGTGGCTGCGCCGTCAGGAGCGGCACTTGGGACAGCACGAGGCAAAGCTAGCAATCACAGATATTTTCGAGAGCAGGTTAGTAACAAGGATGTACCAGGTGCAGGAGGGGCGAAGACTTTTTTCCCCACCGGTGAGAGTAAACAGGAGCTAGGTAGTAACTAGGTAACGGGTAGTATCGGTCAGAGGCATTGAAACAACTAGAGGTTGGAAAAACAACTGCGCGAAGATTAAACTGCGAAATTTGGGCTTGGTTGCAATTTAAAGGAGGGGGCACGTACCTGACGATATTGATTTCGCCTCCTACAGGACACGGTATCTACCTGACTACAGGTTCACGGACGAGCAGCAAATTGCTCGGGTGGGTAGAGAGAAACCGTTCCGGGCCCAAGCTGTAACGGTCAGCATAAAAACATATCAGCAGCAAGAGAACATACATTGACCACCATTACTCGCAGCTGCAGAACCTTGCCAAAAAAGATATCCATATGGGCCAGCGATGTCTCTCCGGTGATCTATGGAGACCTCACCAGAGCTACGCGAAGAAATGTGATGAGGTTAAGTTCAATTTTAGCCCAACAGTGTACACCGTTAACATTTAATGCCACTTGGAAAATTCTGCGTTCCCTTGATCCTCACATCACATCCATACTTTTGCTGCGAAGGTTGGCCTGAGAATCATGAATCTTGGGGGTTTAGATTGATGCCTGAGAGGTCGAGCACTAGTTTTGTTACGGACATCACCATTGGGCAGAGGAATACATTAATTCACCGTAGCGTTGAAGGCCAGCTGGCTGGATAAGACAGTGAGAAAGCGTCGTCGTCGGATTGTGAGTTTGGGGTTTAAATTAATGCCTGAGAAGTTGAGTGTTGTTACGGTCATCATCGTTGAGCAAAGAAGAAATTAATTCACCGTAGCGTTGAAGGCCAGCTGGCTGGATAAGGCAATGAGAAAGCGTCGGAGGATTTGAATATTTGCAGAGAAATGCGATAACATAGGCGCCCAAAGTACCCACGGCATTTATCTTATCTTACCAAATTGCGCCTTCTTTGTCGTAGTACCTTCTACGCCGTGATCATCCCTCTGACATGGGTGAATTGAGGTTAGTTAAGAAGATATATATACAACGAAAGAGTGTGTACACCAGCATATGATTGTTTTCAAATCTAATCAACAACCAATTTGCCCAACATTTTCGCCATGTCTGCGACAATGGAATGCCAACTACTTAGGTATAATTCGTGATCATCAGATGCATAGTGTTTCAGACCGATTCCCCACCACTTGATACATGCAAGCAAGCCAACCCACGCGTTTCTCCCGTGTTTGTTAAGTGGAGATAAGTCATCCCCAAACTGTTCGAAGGATACTGGTAACCCACCCTCATCTAGCAATCGCCATTGGGGCTGTAGACTGGCCCACCAAGCCCACACCTCTTCTGCAAAGTTTGGCGTGAAAAAACCCCTCTTATCAACTTTCGGAAGGGGTCGTGGTCGATTTTTCATCCAATCCAGCAGGACAGTGGGGCGTTTTTCAGGTGAGAAGCCTGCTAATTTGTGAGGATTAAGCCAATGATGCTTGCGCTCATAGTCTACCCATTCTTGCAACAAACCGATATACTGAGGGCTGAGCGCCGTGTTCAAGTAATGGAAAGCTTCAAAAAACCATCCCGAAGATGGTGCGCCGGTCGGATAAGGAAGAGTATCAAGAGATGTCAAGGAAGAGGTAGAGTGGGTCGAGTTCATATTGGAAATATTCTCTGAACTGCCGTCAATGTGCTCGTCAAATTCCGAGCAAGAACTAGCCTAAGGAAGATTGTTCATGGCCATTGAACTGAGAAACAGGACTACTCACTCCTGCACAGTCACGAAGGTCCGGACCAGCGTTTGTTTGAGAAACGTCACGAAGGTCGGGCACGTATTCAGGGATACAATCCTTGGCGGGGAGCTTGTATGACAACTCAGGTGGAGAGAAGATCAAGAACATATAGAAGTCCACCACTTACCTCGTCAACGCCAACATTTCTTCCCATCCCTTGTTTTTCAAAACTAGTGACTCCACCCTGCTTACAAGGTCAGTTAAGGTACGGAATGAAAGAAAACGCGTTGCATACTTGGTCAACTTGTCTGGTATGTGCCACAAGCTGTTTCTCTTCAAGGCTACCTAATTCACCTCGAATCAAGGTACCCTTTTGGTATGGTCAATAAGGTGCTAAGATTATCGATGCAATCCGCACCTCTTCCAAAGGACTTTGCCCCAGTGATTGATGGTTCACATCTGCCCGAAGTTTTGAGATCTCCTCTTCGAGCTCCATGATCTCTAATTGCGATTCACGATATTGGTGATAATAGCTGAGCATGTCCTCCTTAAGCAAAACGACGTCATCCATTTCAATGTTCTGAAACCCCAAGTTCAACACGAGATATGGTTCCCAAATAAATGACACGTACAAGGATTCTCTCCATATCACTTTCCAGTTCATTGACTCGGGCTTCAAGTTCAGCATTCTTCAGACGCAAAAGGTCGATTTCAGTTTCGTAACTTCCGTTTTGCATTACCAGACGAACTCTCTACAGAGAAGACACGAAGACACAGACACAATATGAACGACGGGACCAACTGTAGAATCTAGATGCACTTACTGTGTAAGGGGCGAAGTCCTCGTTGTATTCATCCTGATGAGCATCGGCCCAAGGAAGAGTGCGTTTCAGTTGCGGGGGCATTGGGGAAAGTCTTTTGATTTAGCATTTGCGAGCGCACATTATATATTTAAAGCTGGTTCGGTGGCCATAGCTCCATGGTCTTTTTATGTCTCAATTAGGTCAAAGAGTGTGTGTGATGGTGGGAAAAGTACTGACCAGCCTAAATGAGGTAGCTCATTGTTTAGAGCGGCCCGGGAGACGACTTCGCTGGGCTCGTGCGAAATATAACCGCCCATATGACTTGTCGTTGCCCGTAAATATTTCTCAAATAGACTTTTTTGTGGTCATGGCACGCAAAAGAAAAGCCTTCGAAGATATTTTCGGACGTGAAAAACCTCGACCACCGCCTTCCCCAAGCACTCGAGAAGTCCTTCCTTCCGCATCTTCTGCATCTTCTGTCACCCCTGGTATACCACCCTCCATAGCCTCTCAGATTTCATGCTCCCCGCCTTCAAATGCCCGTCTACGATCTCGCCAGGGCCAACGGCTAGTCTACCAGAACTTCCTTCAACAGAATAGCTCGGAGATTCCAGCCATGAATCATTCTTTTAATACGAGCTCGAATGAGGTTGCTTCGACTTCCGCAGGAGTCCCAGATCTAGGCATCTGCCCTAATCCTGAAAGTTCAACACCTCAAGATTCTCCGAGCCTTCGTAGACCAGACTATGGCTTATCAGTTATGGCTCAAGTCATCTTAAACAGAGACACTCTGGAATTCAACCCACTTGGCTCAGCGGATCTAGACGCAGTTGTTGATGCCGCTCAAGCAACTGTAAGAGTACAATCTTCTCATCTCCCTATATATCCTCAATCTGCACTTCAGATCGACAGTTCGATTTCACGGAACTCACGGAATACTGAAGATAGGACACTCGACGGACTTTTCAATGATCCTAGGTTGAGGCATCGCACAGTCCTCGACGCTTCAATGCGTATACGCTCCCTCCGCAGAGACATGCAGAATCATCTGATCGCTCTTCAGGGACTGTCTTTAGAATCTGCACTAAGCACCATCCAGAATGTGCTTAGCCGGGCAGAGCGCGCGGTACAAGCCACATCATTCGACTTGACGAAAGAAGCCAAGCGCGACACGGTCCGAGAGGTAGTTTCAGAGGCAATGGTGGTTCTTGAAGATGTTAGAAAACTGGTCATAACTTGGCGCGAAACACATCCGGATATGACCCCTCTGAGGATTGACAATAGTATGTTGTTTTCCATTCTGATGCCTCAACCTATTTATCTGTTTCACAGGTGTAGCTGCCTCTGATATATCTTCAGCCTATACAACAGCGACCCTCGTCGCGTATACATTAGCGTTGATGTTGCGCTTGTTAGAGGGCGTTGGTCGTACAGTGTCTAGTTTTGTCCTAAAAGGAATCAAAATTTTTGCAATGAGTTATGGGTTACTTCATCCAGGTGGAACTTCCGACCTACAATCCAAAACACTTTCAGACATACCCGAAGACATCCGCCAGCTGGAGTGGAAATTCAATCTCGATGTTGAGACGACTGTATACGCAGTTTGTCCTCGATGTAGTTATACACATCCGCCTGAATTCTCCGACGATTCTACTGAACCAAACTATCCTGAAATTTGCTCCCATCGGCCAATGGCCCTCGCAGAACCCTGTAACGAACATTTGCTGCTGGACAGCGGGAAGCCTATAAAGACTTTCGAGGTTTATTCCTTCCTGAATTGGTTCGGTCGTTTCATCGCTCTTCCTGGAATTGCTCAATATGGCGAAGCATTCTGCGAGAAGATCTCGGACGATCATCCTCCGGAAGATAAGGGAAGTGCTTGCAGTGGACGGTTCTACTTTGAGTTAAAGGGTCCTGATGGAAAATTCTTCATACGTGAGAGAGGGAAGGAAAGTCGTTGGTTCTTCAAGTTCCACGCGGACTTTTTCAACATCGAGGGGAATCTACATGGTGGCAAACACAACTCGACAGGTATAATGTCGATGAGCTGCCTGAATCTTCCCTTAGAAATTCGTGAAGATCAGGCTTATGTCTACATCCCCGGAATCATCCAGGGCCCCCGGGAGCCTGATGCCAGAGCTGGTGCATATAATCACTACCTACGACCAATTATAGATGAGATGTTAATTGCGTACACCAGGGGTATCCAATGTGCTTCGTCTGATGACCAAGAAACACCATATGAGCGCACACACCGCGTAATTCTAGCTAATATTTCCATGGATGCCAAAGCATCACATCCCTTTGCTGGCCTGGTGGACATAGGTTCACATATCTACTGCGCGACTTGCCAAACATGGCATAAAGCCTACCTCGACTCGGTGAATTATGAAGACTGGGAAGCAATCGACGACGAGTATCTTCGGGAAGGTGCAGAAAAATGGCAGAAAGCAGAGAGTCGTGCTGAACGGGAAAGAATAGAGCATCTTTATGGTGTGCGATCCTCAGAATTCTGGCGATTACCTTATTTTCGCCCCTCGAAACAGGTGACCATCGATCCCATGCATGCCTTGAAAAATATTTTCAGAAACTTTTTTTGTGATGCACTACGCCTAGACAACCCTGGCAGTACAAAGGAACCCAAGAACAAAAGCACAATACCAGTATCCTTGATAGCACACCGTTATCAATTCACGCCTCCTCCTCCATTATCTCTTGTGAATTCTTCCCCCGCTGCACAAGCAGAGTCCGCCGAAGAGGATTCTGTGACTTCAGTACTGGAGTGGGATCACCTCTCAAATGATCTGCGTCATCTTCGTCACCAGCGCATGACAAGTCTTTCGGTGAAAATCGATGCCTATAAGCGGGAATTAGTTGACATACATCATCTCCTCACCTCGTCACGGCCCTCCACAGACTCAATGCAAGCACAGCTGCGATCAAGACTCAAGAGCAAGAAGTGGGGAGCTTTGATGTTCGTCTGCAATGACCTAATGGTGTTTCCTGCCCAGATATTTGATGAAATTGTAAAGAAGGTGTTAGTGACAAAGAGCGATATGACAAAGGATGACATGGTAAACACACTAATTGAATGGGTCAGTTAATTTCATTAGCGCACACACGGAAGGAATTGACAAAGTTACCGTAGCGTTTGAACGGCATTCAAGAAGACCAGGCGTTCATCTGGCCGCACTTCACACCCACCGTGTTTGCTCCTCCCCGGGCACCCTGGGCATCTCCTGTGCTATCTCACACATTTCATGGAAATATCGCTTGTCGTTCACTTACTGATGCTGAAAGAAGGACAATGATGGAAGATACGGCGAGGAGAATGAATTGGCACTCTGCAACTGGTGTTGGTCATATTCATCAACTTCTCTGGGCACCATGCGACAATAGCGATATAGGGAAAGAAAAACTAGCTAAGGCCCTGAATACAGAAGGCATCGATGCCTTGTTATATGTTTGTATAGACCTCAATCGAGTCCCCTTACAGCTGCCCAGGCGAGAAGTCAAACGGGTTCTAATACACCAGGTAATCACATGGGTAGGTCGTGCATATCTCTTCGGTTCTTCCCACTTGATGAGCCTCTATTTGTGCAGCGCATGATGCAGCCGTTGGATGCCCTTGCTTGGACACCCGTGGATTCACCTGCTGTTCTTGAGCATGTGAGCCAGGCTATACGAGAGGTGACTGTTCCTTCGTGGATTTCAAAGCCTTCAGAATACATAGGGCTTCCGAGAGCTGGAACACCAAAGGCAGATAACTGGAGACGATTATTCGCCATCTTCCTGCCACTGGCATTATTGAGCATGTGGCAGGTTTGTTCTCCTACTGCAGTATCCGACGCTACGGAAATGAGCTCGGTTCTGGATACTTCCCTATATCTCACTTGTGCTTTGATTGCGATGACCAAGCACAAATTGACGCTCCAAGATCGGTTAAATTTCCGTGAATACCTTCGACAACACCTCCTTGGCCTGAAACTTAATTTTCCTGGATGGATTCTTCCTAGTCACCATGTTAGCTTCCATATCTTCGATTACATGGATCTTTTCGGACTGGTGCATAATTTCTGGTGCTTTCCTGGAGAGCGTTTGATATCTCGGCTGAGGAGTATCACAATTAACAATAAAATTGGTGCGATATTTTTAAATCTTTCTACTATCATTTACTCATAGACCTACTTAAAGGTCAATTTGAAAGCACCTTACTGCACTCTTTTTGCAAAGGCTCTGCATTCCGTCGTTGGCTACTACGTCCTAATTGTCCTCCTTTATTGAAAGTTTTACGCCAGCTTCTTGACAAGGCTTTCGGGTTGAACAAAGATGATAGAGCACATGCCGACTGGGAAGAATGCACAGAAAACCTCTTCGAGACTTCTGAGCACTCGCAGTTCACAGTGCCCATTCCCTCAGAACTGATTTCATTGCTTGGCACAAGAGAAATTGAATGTTTTAGTCGGATCCATGCAGGGTATGGAAAATACTACGGGATTCCATCGGCACCAGGCAAGGGTAATTCCTTCATTTGCTTTTATCCCAATGGAGATTTACACCTCGAGTGGGTTGCTGGCCGAATCCAGTTCATATTCAAGCAGGATGGAAGAATTAGGTTCGCGATACAAAGAAGTCTGCCAATCACTTTTGACCAGATCACACCTGATCCGTTTCGAAGATTCTGGGAACAGGGTTTCCAGGCAAAGACAGTGTCGTCTGCCTTCTCTAGCGAATTAGAATTTATTGAAACCGGTTGGTTGTTAGGCCACACGGCGAGATGGGAATTATCTCCCTCACAAGCGATTTGTCTAAACTTGGTCAGTAAAGCTTAAGGATCTTCGTAACCTATCTAACTTTGGTTCTTAGGGTGAAGTAGTATGATTCTATCTGGAACGGACTACTTAAGGCAGCCACTTTGTAACACCATTGCAATTTAATATATTTAAATCTTCTGTTAAGCCATCGCACCGCAAAAGATTCAAGATTGCGTCGTTCTATATGTTACTAAGCCCAACAGAAAATTACTAAGGAATTGCGATATACATAAACTAATTATGTATGTTGTGAACATGGATCACACTAAAGAAAGGCAAGCGCCAGAAACATGACAATCCCACCAAGTAAAGCACTCCCAACCACAATGAATATCACCTTGAATCCCCATTCCGGTTCACGGCTGATCAACAGACTCGTTAGCAACTCCTCAAAGCCATCGAGAGACTTTAAATCAAGAGACGCCTTTGTCAATATAGGTAGGATTGATCCTTTTGATTGCTTGTCCAACTGGGCTATGATGCCAGCAGAATCGAAGACAGACATGTCAATGAGAGTAAGTGGAGCGGATTCTGCAGTGGCACAAGTACCCGATTGAATGCCTTTGAGCTTCTGGTCCTCGAGTTCGGACTGATAAGGAGTAGTAGGCTTAGGAAGTGACGGCAGGCAAGCGATAACAACAAGCTTGGCCATACGAGCGCTGCCTTTGGGACGAGCAACGATGAAAGGCCCTGGCTGGATCATGGCTTCGGAGCTCGTCATGCCCGTGGAGTCAGCAAGAGAGATGTCGGTTTCAGCGAAGAATGATGTAGTCATATTGTGAAGAGAGACGTCGCTTTCAGCGAAGGATGATGTAGTCATATCGTGTGTCAAGTGGGACGAGTAGGATAGGCGATGCAAGGGAAGTTCGCAAGGTACTTCGATTTTGTCGGTGCGGAATCCTGCGGCAAATCGATGTGCAGGAAGTGGTTCATATAAAAGAGACAGGGAACGCGTACCCACTAGGAGTGATTATGAGAAACGAAGTGGCTCATATGAAAGGGACAGGGAACGTGTACCCACTAGGAGTGATTATAGGAAAGTGGTCAATATGAAAGGGACAGGGAATGTGGTGTAGTTGACTGGCAACAAGGTGGAACAGTATCAAAGGGAGCTGCAGCGCTAGAGCTGGCGGCTACAGCAAGGAAAGATCCGGTTATCGAAAGAGAATTTGCACAGGACGAAAGGCATCGAGGAGATTAATCGCTGTGGTCATGTGTGTGACCACTGGTTAGCGCCGGTCCGGGTTTCGACCCCTTTCAGATCTTCTGATGTCTTTTGTTACCTTTTCTTCTCTTTTACTAGTACTTGTTCTCAACTTCCTCTAGATCTCGCGTTATGAGTAAAACAGTGCGCCGAATGATGCTCCTTCAATCTTTTACTTCCCAAACATGGATCATTCAGAATTCGTGGGTGCCGAAATCAACGTCTGTTCTCTGCTCACATTCTACCGTTCACACAAACTCAAATCCTTGTAGTGTCTGGCTCGAAAAATTCTTCACGCCGCAATGCAATTGAAGTACACATATGAGGCTTGTGTGAAGGAACCCATATCGATGATACAACTTGCTCAATTCCGGTCGGATCCGAAGGTCCATGGTCCCCGCATGGGTGTAGTTCAACTAGATTGGACGGGCTCCACTCGTTTGTCTGACTGGAACCAGGCGGTCGTTGAACTTTTAGCTGAATCGGCACAAACCACCTATCCAAGCATCAGCACAAAAGTCAATTGGCGACGACTCTTCGCAGCTAGAATAGACTGAATCATCAGTGATGCCCTCCACTTCCAAAAAACGGGTACTTCGTATGTCGAAACCAAACGCAAGCAAGCTTTGAGATCACTATTACAGCAGGTGCGTAATGATTTCGTTCCTCGAGAACTGTGATCAATGTCTCCTCAGAAGTTTCAACGTCGTCTTCGCATTGCCAGTATCATGTGCGATTTTTGCAAATCATCAGGCGACGGAGATGGCATATTTTTTTGGTCCTATATCCTCTGCTCCTTAGGCTTCCTAACTCAGACAGGCATGTCCGACAAGGAGACTATTCGCGACCAAGAAGGCAGTGGTTCCATAAGAGTCATACTTGCCCGAAGTTCTCGCCACCCAACTTTTCGAATTCTGTTTCGATACGTTGACAACATCCCTTCACTATATCCTGATCTTTTCCAGAAATGTGGGAGGAAGCCCATGAAAAGAGTTCCGGCGTCGAAAGGCACAACATGTGTGGCTTCTACATGTACAACTCCTCACTCGTCTTTTCAAGAAAGGCCCGGGTATGACCTACAGTCAGATGATGGCAATAACGACCTATGCCCCTCGAGGTTTGTTCATTATCGTCATATATATACATACGTGAAAGCTGATCTCACCCTCAGATTTCTTCCTTACCTAGTGATCAAAGGTTACAAGTTCGACTCTGCGTCTCCTAAAACTCGCGGTAGTGCTTGACGTCAATCTCTAAAATTATGTAGTCTGTCAACGAATGTTTACTGGGCTCAAGAACAGCAATGATATTTGATTGATTTTTCAGAAATTGTTACCTTGAAAAATCTCTTGATATGATCACGCGCGTATGTCAAAACGAGCGCTTTAAGGACCGTTACAGCGTTAAAGGTTTCCGTAGTTTCTTTCTTCTTCATCACGTCTACGATATCGAGGATCAATTAACGTCTGAATCTTTTCTCTTATTGCCAGACTCGCGGACGTGATCTTCATATCATGGACGCCTCCCCCGTTTTCCCATCGAATTCCGCTAATCCAAATGCCACTCTGGACTCCGACCTCGATATCCCTGTATTCACTCCTGCCCTCGAAATCGATTCCATCGATGAATTTCCCATGATCCCCTCTGGACGGAATGAATATTTGAAAAGACAAAGGCAAGGGGGGAGAGACGAGCTGATTGAGCACTTGGATGCCCTCCATTCAGCTTCGGAGAAGATATATAATGATCAGAAAGAAGAAATCCAGCGAAGAAGGCGACAGATAAGTGTACTGAAAGAGGAGTGCAGTGTGAGTGATGAGTCCATCCCAATAACTCAAGCTTATAGTTCTTTTCTCCCAGAAACTTCAAGAAACAATTTGTTTGAGCAAATTGACGCAGGAACGTGAGCATTGGTGCCCTGGGTGCCATGATCTCGCATGGAATCCCCACATGTATGTCTACATTTGTGATGTCCTTTGTCATCGCTTGTACGATGATCGCATGTTTAGCTTGGTATGTGGCCACACGGTGTGTTCTCGATGCATCAGCAACGAGAAACAAGCAGCAGATAGTTCCGGACGAACAAGACGATGCCCAAAGTGCAAATCCTTTATTTGCAGGCCTCCCATTCCATCGTTTACAATTCAACACGCAATTGAAGATATCGCTTTGAAAGTAGGAAAAGTATCTCCCGTCACCTCTAATGAGAAGGGCTCCCGCGACGTATAAAGCTACCAAAATCGAGCTTGCTAAACAGGTATAGGTAAGAGATTTTGTGTACGTACGGAGTTCCGTTTAACGTTTCTGCTAGATTTGGTCTGCGTACATCCTTCCCATCTTCTTGATCAGATACGTAGACTGTTTTTTCGAGAAATAACATGTGCACCGCAGAAACTTAATAGAATCAATCATCCTCGCCTGCATAATAAACAAATAAATATACGATCGTCATGTCCATGCATACTATCAAGTGCCTATCAACCCCTTATACATAGCTTTCGAGATGTACCAAACACCGCCTTGCTCAATGTCCCAGATATTTAGTGCGCAAATCACTGACCGCGGTCTGAGCCTACCCTGAAGCACATACACGTGAAACAAGGCATAATCGCAGAACAAAGAACAAAGGCTTAGGTGTGGCCAATTCGCATATATAAAGACGTGAGTATCCTCTTTCTATGGCTCAATTTCACCTACTCTTTTTCTGAGAAATGGGGCGAGGCCGTGCCACTCCCACATCGAAATCTGCGCGTCGCTCGGTTGCTCGGGCTCCAAGTGCATCCTACGCTCGCCGGCATCCCATGATTACTCGAAGCAAAACTGTCCAGGTTGCCACACGCGTTATTTCGGACCCCACGCCTCTTTCTGCCCCCAATGCCACTGATGTGGACTCTGCTATCGCTTTCAATGCCGACGTCATTAATGTTTCACCACCACTTGACACAATTTCTCCTACCCCATTATCCATCGCCGATCCTATTTCCTCGGATGATCCAACTCATCATCCACTGACTGACGAAGACGATCGTGATGACGAGTTCCACGACGAAGTGCGGATGTATCTTGACTACTCATCTGATATATTGAGGGCCCAGGCTGAAGAAGTTAAGTTGCTTCGTCGGGAAGTTGCTTCAGCCCGCGAAGAAAAGGCTGTAAGTTGCAGTCGTACACTTCGAATTATCACTCATGTCAAGATGTTTACAGGTCTTGAAAAACAAACACGCGGCGGACGTAGCCGCTAGAGAAGAGGAGTACCGCTGCCCGATTTGCTATGAATTATTGTGGGATCCGTATGTGTGAGTATTCGAGAATGTGATGTCGATGCTGCTCCTGATTTTCTTGCGGCTCAGATTGCCCTGTGGACATTCGTTTTGTGCCCGCTGCCTCAGCCGACAGAGAATCAACGATTTTCGAACCAAGGCTCGCAGTCCTTCCAATCTCGTAGTGACATGCTGCTCTCTATGTCGCGCCGAAGTTCATCAGAAGCCTATTTTTTCGTGCACTATTCAACGGAGTGTACAAGTCGTTGCCAAAGAGAAGCGTGCGGTTGCTCCTCCTTCTTATCGACTTCATTGGCCATGGTAGCTGAATAACGATGGCAAATACTTTGTTAATCTAGAGTTATTATAGACCAGACCAACTTATATGCAATTTCTTTGATATATACCTGACTACTCTTTTCAGATTGATCTTTCTTCTACAATATTAATATTTCTGTACATGTCAATTGACACAAACTGTGACCTGTACATGTGCGATGCGCGCGTCGAGCTTGGCGCGTCTCCGCCTCATTCAGTGATCAAACCAAGCAGGGACAAATAGTGCTAGTCGTCGTTGATGATATCTCATCTAAGCGCCTTCCCCTTTGTGCTACCGATATGAGCGTTTCGTCATATTTAGTTTCTTTGTCTTGTCAAGGCTGGGACGATTTAGTGAGTACTGGTACTAGTGCTTCCAGCGTGCTATCATGGATCATCCCATGGATGGCACTCCCGCCTCCAATGAACCACCGACTACTAACGATTCTGACGCGCCGGCCCCAGCCTCCCATCTTTGTCAAAGATTAAGGCTCATTCGACGTACCGTGGAGGACACCGACACTGTCAACGAATGTGCGACTTCTTCAACGAGTTCTCTGAACCGTCGTAGAAAACTTAGTTCGTGCGATCTTGAAGACACCCAGTCTTCTTCCAGTCAGAACGAGAACATTAGTGAGAGGCCGAACAAAGTAACAGATGTGAGTTACCATTTTCTCATTGTGCGAGCTCGCTCTAATCCTTATTGTTTAAAGTTCAAAGTTCGAGTGGTCGAACGCGTAGTCGAACGAGAGGTTTTACCTGTAATTGTGAGACAGCAACTAGTTGAGAACGAAGAACGGATACAATTTTTGCAACAGGAGCTAGAGGTATGATATCCTTCGATTTATTGTGCTCTCGTTAACCTCATCTTGTAATTGCAGAAAGGCCCAAATGCTGTTCAAGACCCTACCTTGCAACATCCTCGACCGAAAGAAAAAGAAGATTCCGGAGACGTAGAACGACGGAAATTGAGGGTAAGAATGTCGCTCATGTTCCTGAACATTCGGGTTTACGTTTCCATCGCAGGAGGACATCCTTGACAAAGGCAAAATCATTGCAACTCTGACGGCTTTAACTACGAACCTGCAGGAAAACGCCGCTGAAGTCAGGGTATGTGACCCGGAGCTTTGCTTTGCTTTCACTGAAGTTCATTACCTCCACAGCGAGATGCGGATGGATTGCGTAAGGAACTGAAGAATACAAAGGTAAGCCTTCAGACCACACGTTCGCTGTCGCGTAGGATTCTAGATTTCATCTGCTCTCATAGCAAACCTCGGATACTCTGGACGAAGAACTGAAGAAATCAAAGGTGGCGATTTCTTCAAATATCAATTGCGTTGGCACTCACTCAAGTTCATCTGCCTTCACAGCGAGATGCGGATGCATTGCGTGAGGAATTGAAGAATGCAATAGTAAGTCTTCAAAACACATGACTCGCCTTCACGTAGGATACCATAGTTTATCTGCTCTCACAGCAAAACTCGGACATAATGAACGAAGAACTGAAGAATTCGAAGGTGCGTTCTCCTCAAATATCAACAGTTGAGTAAGCCACTCACTACTCTCCCCAGGTGGAAGTGGCCAATGCAACTCGATCAGTAGAAGCTGTCAACGAGGAGATCAAACGACTAAACGAGAAGCTTGGTCAAAAAGCTACGGCGAAGGAATCCGAAATAGAAAACCTTATGGCCAAATTGGTCGAAGCCCAAAATGAGCTCAAGGAGAATAAAGTAAGTTCTTCTAAAAGATCTAAATGTGTTCATCTAGCTTAATTGCGGTCTTCGTAGCTTCGAACTGATGTAGTGCTTAATAAATGTCGAAACGAAAGCAAGGTAAGTAAGACTTTGTCAGCGGTTATCGTGTTATTAACAAGTCATCTTCAGACGCAGATTCTCCGATACGAAAAACAAATCAAAGATCTCGACACTAGCATTGTCACCAAAGACTTGCAAATGCAAACACTCAACTCCAAAATTCAAGCGTTAGAGACAAAGAGGGCCCAGCTTGAGGCAAACATGACGGCGGCGAAGAATGTAGGTTTTTCCTTACTTCTATGTCGGTAGGAAGGGTTGGAAGCTCTGACCTTTCTATGGTAAAGAAACTTGGCGATAAATCTAAGGTATGTGAAAGGCCCAATGATCTACTATTCTTCTCATGAGTGTTGCGTTAGGCCAGGACAGTGCAGGTCGAACAGTTTGAGCAAAGAATCAAGGAATTTGAGGAAAGCATCACTCTCAAGGACTCGCATACACTTACGCTTGGAAATACGATACAAAGTCTGGAGATGGAGAAAAGACAGCTCCAGGAAAGTGTCGCGGTGGAAAAGGTTAGCTCTCAATGCTATCAGCAGTCAATTTGTACTAATCTATGTGTGTATTCAGACGCAGATTCTCCGATACGAAAAACAAGTCAAAGATCTCGACACTAGCATTGTCGCCAAAGACTCGCAAATGCAAACACTCAACTCCAAATTTCAAGCGTTAGAGACAAAGAGGGCCCAGCTTGAGGCAAACGTGACGGCGGCGAAGAATGTAGGTTCTTCCTTACTTCTATGTCGGTTAGAAGGGTTGGAAGTTTGCCTCTGACCTTTCTATGGTGAAGAAACTCGGGGATGAATCCAAGGTATGTGAAAAGCCCAATAATCTACTTTCAGCTTCTCATGAGTGTCACGTTAGGCCAGGACAGTGTAGGTTGAACAGTTTGAGCAAAGAATCAAGGAGTTTCAGGAAAGCATTACTCTCAAGGACTCGCATACACTTACGCTTGGTAATACGATACAAAGTCTGGAGATGGAGAAAAGACAGCTCCAGGAAAGTGCTGCGGTGGAAAAGGTTAGTTCTCAATGCTGTTAGCAGTCAATTTGTACTAATCTATGTGTGTATCATCAGTCAAACATAGAAGCTGACCGTGCAGCATTGAAGAAACTGAGGGAAGAAACCGGTGTGAGTCAGGGCGTAATATTGATATGCTCTCACAATGTTGAACAGTTGCACCTTAGGCCGGGGCAGCACGAATACAGCAGCTTGAGGAAACAGTCAACGATTTGCAGCACACTCTGGCTTCGAATAAATCGCACACGGAATCACTCGACACGAAAATTTTGACTTTGGAAAGGGAGAAAAGACAACTGGAAACAGCTGCAGTGACAGAGAAGGTATGCTCACAGTGTCAATAATACTGCTCATGCCTTATGTATCATCCCCAGGAATTCCTCGAAGCTGATCGCGCTGCGTTAGACAAATTACGAGATGAAACTACAGTAAGTCGGGAATCTGTCAAACGCCGAAATGGGCTAACACAATCAGACACTGAATTCAACGATTCAAACACTGGAGTCAGAGAAAAGGCGGCTCGAGGCAGCAGCAGCGGCAGATAAGGTGGATTTCATGGTGAAGGACGGCGCAAACACTGACTTAATGACCCTCAGCCCCAAATCATCGCAGATCGTACTGCGCACCAGAAGCTTCAACATAAAAGTACAGTAGGTCATGTTCCTGTCTTTCTGCCTTTTCGTCTTCATACTTTGATTACCAGGCGCAAACCACAGAAATTCTAGATCTGAAACAAAAAGTCCACGATCTTGACGCCAGTATTGCTGCCAAGAACTTGAATTTTGAAGCGCTAAACTCAACCATTCGAACCTTACATATGGAGAAGGCCCAGCTTGAGGCAAGCATGACGGCGGCGGAGAACGTAGGTTTGCCTCACTTCTATATTGGTTGGAAGGTGCCTCTGACCTTTTCATGTTCTCTATCTTTCTGCCTTTACATCTTCATACTCTCATTACCAGGCGCAAATCACAGAAATTCTTGATCTGAAACAAAAAGTCCACGATCTTGACTCTACCATTCGAACCTTACACACGGAGAAGGCCCAGCTTGAGGCAAGCATGATGGCGGCGGAGAACGTAGGCTTTTCACACTTCTATATTGGTTGGGAGTTTGCCTCTGACCTTTCTATGGTGAAGAAACTCGGGGATGAATCCAAGGTATGTGAAAAGCCCAATAATCTACTTTCAGCTTCTCATGAGTGTCGCGTTAGGCCAGGACAGTGCAGGTTGAACAGTTTGAGCAAAGAATCAAGGAATTCGAGGAAAGCATCACTTTCAAGGACTCGCATGCAGTTTCACTTGGTGATATGATACGAAGTCTGGAGACGGAAAAAAGACAGCTCAAGGAAAGTTTTGCAACGGAAAAGGTTAGTTCTCAATGCTGTTAGCAGTCAATTTGTACTAATCTATGTGTCTGTATCATCAGTCAAACATAAAAGCTGACCGTGCAGCATTGAAGAAACTGAGGGAAGAAACCGGTGTGAGTCAGGGCGTAATGATATGCTCTCACAATGTTGAACAGTTGCACCTTAGGCGGGGGCAGCACGAATACATCAGCTTGAGGAAACAGTCAACGATTTGCAGCACACTCTGGCTTCAAATAACTCGCACGTGGAATCACTCGACAAGAAAATTTTGACTTTGGAAAGGGAAAAAAGACAACTTGAAACAAGTGCAACTGCAGAGAAGGTGTGTATCTACATTCCCATCAACTGGCCTCAACCAACTTAACTTATGTGTCCAGCCGCAAATTGAAGCCGATCGTGCTGCACTGAAGGAACTCAAAGAGAAATCTAAAGTAAGGAGGAAGTTAGTGTTACGCCAGATATCATTACTCAATGTATCTATGTCAGGCTGGGAAGATCCAAACAAACCAGCTCGAAGAAAGAGTCAAGGATCTAGAAGCATGTCTTGCTTCCCGGGACTCACATGCACAGACGTTGGATTCTATGATCCAAGTGTTGGAGGTAGAAAAACGACGATTGGAGGCAAACGCGGCAGCCGAAAAGGCAGGCTCTCATTGCAATACAGACTTTTGACGACTGATCCTTTCGTTCTATTAGCCTCAAATTGACGCAGATCGTGCTGCACTAAAGAAGTTCCGGGATGAAAATCAGGTAGATTAAAGCCGAATTTTGCTTTTGTATCTTCATGCATAATCTGCCAAGGGATCGCATGCGCAAGTTCTGAAATTCAAAATTCAAACACTCGAGTCAGAGAAACAAGAGCTAAACGCAACTTTGGCGACAGAAAAAGTAAGTTCGTTCCCATCGCGTGAGACACATGTACATCGACTAATAATCATGTTAGTCCAAGGTTGAAGCAGATCGAGTTACTCTGCGCAAACTGAAGGATGAAACTGGGGTAAGTTCAAGTGATCAATTTGCGTTAATATGAACTGCTCAAATGTTCTATGCCAGGCTCGTGCCGCACGAATTCACACTCTAGAGCAAAAAATCAAGGATCTTGAGAAGGTAAAATCATTGCTCCTATCGCGGGTCTTTTGTCACGGTTCACCTGTTTTCTGTCTAGCATCCTTCTGAAATGATGGAGAAACTACTAGCGGAGAATGCCACGCTCAAAGTACCTTTACTTGTATTTACATTTCGCTATCGGCTCACTTCTCTGTCAGTCCTTAGCCTCGCAAGACCGTAGTCGTTTACTCAGCTACCAGTCAGATCATGTCACCAAGGTCCTCAAACAAAACATCTTCTTGACTTGACGATACTTATCTTTGATTTAGACCCGCTTTAATAATCTGGAAGAAGACTATTACAAGCTTCAGGTACGGGTTTCAGTGACTCGCTAATGTGCTTCAGCAAGAGGAATTACTTTACGCAGGAAACACTGTCCCAGAAGGCGCAAGAAATTGTTTCGCTCAAACAGGCACATGAGATTCAGGTAAAGTGTTTCTCCCATCACAATGTAATTTCCTTACCTCAAAAAGCAGATTGGATCTGCCGGAACGCATGAAATACAAGCCCTGCGGGAATCCATCACAGGACTACAAGCTCAGAACGCAGAAGAAAAGCTCACAAACTCGCGTATTCAGGCTTGCTTAGTGACACTACAAACCGAGATAGCAGCTGTCACTCATGAGAGGAATCAGCTAAAATCTCGAGTTCCTCCGGAGGGTGGCACCCTTGCTCTCCAACATACTGTAACCAAGTTGCGTGAGCAATACGAACAAAAACAAGGACGTGTCACTGCATTAGAACAAGAAGTAGCAAGCCTTATACGGGAAAGAGATTCTCTCAAGGTTCGTCTTCAGTATGGACTTTTTCTCAGCCATTCTGACAAGAACTATCTAGGGATCTTCGGAAAATGGGCCATTAACTTCCCAAATCGAGCAACTTCGAGCAGAACGCGATAGATATAAGGTAAAACATCCATTCTTGTTGAATGTAATCTACTGACATCCCAATATAGGATGAACTTCATGCACAATCCGCAGGTCGCTATTTCTTGTCCAGCTGCAAAAATCGCACATTATCTCGTGTCAATGTTAATGCCGAGATGAGTTATGCCAGGAAAATATTTCCGTCGTACAGACTGGCGGACCCTGTGGTGCGTACTTAGTTTCTAGTGCTTGGCTTTCATATATCTTACCTTAGTGTCAGGCTCGATCCAGTTTCCGGAATCAGCATCCTCCCGAACCGTCGCAGTCACATTCTCCTCCTGGACCATCCCAATCAAGTAATTCTCCTGGACCATCTCAGTCGGACTCTCGTCCCGACCCATCCCACCCTTCGAATTACCGTCCTGGGCCATCCCAATCAAATAATTCTCCGGGACCATCTCAGTCGAATCCTCGTCCTGAACCATCCCACCCTTCGAGCTACCGTCCTGGATCAGATAACACAAACAAAACTGGAACAAACGGCCAACGTCTGCCAACAGAATCTCCGTCTCGCACGCCCTATAGAGCCCCTTGGCAAAAGAATAGATTTTCACCTTTTGTAAGTGAAGTGGAAAAATATCACAAATATCACAATATTGTAACCAAAGCTCACAACTTGCTGATAGCTTATACGACCTGACCATGACTCTAGCGACAGGGACAACGACGATCGTGAACAGGTGTGTGACCACTTCACGCATGAGATCTCACTCTAAAGCAGCTTCAGCGAAAGTCCTCACGAAAGAAAGGAAAGGGTCAGGCAACCTACTCTAGCGAGTCAGATTTCTCTTCGCAATCCTCTTCTGACGAACAATCTGCTTCCGATGCCGATGTTGATAACAATGGCATGCCTATTGAAAGTAATGTCAGTCATGTTGCAAAGCGCTACGCACAGAAAGGTACACGCAGCAGCTGGTCCCGCTCTGCACAGAGAAACCAGGTGAATGTAAGTGATTATTATAGCTTCTAGATAATGTCATCAATTGCGTTCCGCAGAAATTATCGAGACGTATCATTCGAGAAACACTGGGTGGTCGCAAAAATTATCAGCTTTTTGTTCGTCCCAGTGTTTCGGATGCCCGGTTGAAACATTTTGAAGAGAATCCCCAACTTTACGGCCCAAAAATTCGCAACACATTCCTAGACAAGCGTGGTTTAACTACCCAGCAGCTCGCAGAACAGCCATGGAATGAGCAAGTTGCCTATATCATGGCCAAAAATGCGGAGGAAATTTTCAGGAACTGCAAAGATCAGAGGTTCGGGGATGCGATTGACTGGCTTGAATTATTCCACGAGCGTATATACCGTGTCTATCTCGATGTAGTAAAAGGGAGGCCCAAGACACTCGATGAGGCAGGAACAAGAGAAAGGCCTGAACAAATTCAAGATCGATTGGTCGAGTCGCATCTCCTTCGCATCAAGAACAACGGAGAGACTAACTCCCGACATATGGTATCTAGTTTTGTTGTTCTTGACTTCAACCGTGTCTTACTATTCTTAATTAATGTTTCAGAAATTACAAAGTCGTTGCGAAATCTGCGTAATTATGTTGCGTGAATGCAGGAATGGGGATAATCAAGAAGGTGTGAAGTTCTTCTCCTTTTGCCTGCGGGCTTTCGAGAAAATGGGGAGTGGAGGGATGTCAGAAGATGAAGATGGTGTGGATAAGGTACATGTTGAGGAACGGGAATTGGAGGAGGCCGTGAAACTTACCATGTTTTTGCCATTCCGCCACTCTACCTTGACAAAGCTTGTTGTGCTCGTGGATGAGATTCCTCAAAATGAAGGGTTGAAGAAGTTGTTTGTGCAGAGTGGGAGAGTTCGCAAGCGTAGAGTTCGCGGTGATCCCAGATGTAAGACATCTGATCGAAAGCCGCCAAAGAGGTGGTATTCATCTTTCTTTCCAGACGGTTATCTCGACTCTCTGTCGGAATATCAGCGGGAGAAGTTGCGCTTATCGAAGAAAGTATTCCCCCTGTACGATATAGAGACGTTACCGAACTTGTAGAATATTATTTAAAGTCGTTAGTCAGTGGCACCAAAGTGGCACCAGCGCTCCTTCGGCGCTTATGTATTTAGTTTCGCGAAGGAAAAATAGTCCATTTAACAAGCGCGCAAGATTACATTTATTAGACGCGAAAGATAATCTATATCAGGGGGGAAAGATAATCTATATCAGGGGGGAAAGATTACCTATATCAGGGGGGAAAGATTACCTATATCAGGCGGGAAAGATTACCTATATCAGGCGGGAAAGATTACCTATGTCTTGTGTTCAAAAGCTAATTAATCTTACAGGAAATATAGTATTGACCGAGCTCGAAAGATTGTATTATGAAGAAGGGAAAGGCGTGAATTTACCTGAAATAAATGGTAAATTTCTTGACCTGGGAAATCTTAGGTTTCTGTCGCGAGGAAGAGTTCCATTTCCTTAGGGAAATCTGGCAATTGTTTCTCACATTTCCCTTCATATTTTCCAGGCGTAAAAAGCGCCTCGGTCAGGTGTGAGACACTTTCAATCTCTTCATCTTTATTATTGATTTCAGGAGTAACAGCACGTAATCCATTTGATTGATTCGCTACTACCACTGGATGATCACTATGGTCTTCATATGCCACGCTCTGATTAGCAACTATGGCAATGTTCCTTCGTTCATCATCAATGGAAAGGTCTCGTAGAAAACTTTCCACAATGTCTTTCTGCACTATAGATCCCACAGGAATGTCATTACGACTTTCAGTCAGGACTTCAAACATATCCGCCTGATCCTGCCAAAGATCTTCAATTCTAATACATGTATCAATCATCTGTACCCTAGATGGATCGTCCAAAATTTCAGTTTCTCCATCTTCGGATAAAGTTGATACGTAGTTATTCGTTTTAGTCCTTGGACGGACTCTTCTATTGCGTATCTTGCGCATAATAATCTTTCTGATAGCAGGTGATAAAGCTGCTAATTCTTCTGTACTCAAATCAACTTTAGCATCGAATATCTTCTTTGCTATATCTTCTTCTACACCTGGTCTCGAGACTTCATTCCTAATTTTATAGGCTGGAGTATATCCATGACTATCAATTTGATTCGTCTGGTCTCTTGGTACCTGCGTAGGTGTATTAATTTGAATAGGATGATACGTCCTAGGTTGAACATGATCATATGGTCTATGTTCGCTATTAATTTGATTCGTTGGTCTCGACGAAGGAATTAATTTAATAGCATCTTCGTCATCAGATTCATTAACATCTTCAATCGTGACTGAAGGCTTCTTCAAAGGCCGATTTATGGACTTTGGAGCCTCAAATCTCACTGTTTTCTGATTTCCATTGGTCGTTTCAACCAATTTCCCTGGTATTAAACCTGGTTTCTTGGGTATATGCACCCCATCAAATACTAATCTTTTCATATTTTCATTAAATTGATTTCTTTTTGCTTTCTCACTTTCCTCCGGAGCTACAGCATTGGATCTTAAAGTTCTCATGGACCGATCCTGCTCCTTCATTGGAGTACTTATTTTTTTCCATTTGAACTATCTTGGTTGAACACCCGGACATCATCTTCTCGGTGTGCTTCTAAATTCCCAAGTCTATCTGATAGTTCCTCTATTCTTGTCATCCAAACAGCTAGATTGACGTTAGGATTCATCTGCTGATCCATGACTTTATCATCTTCGTCATCTTCCATGTTTGCAAAATAGGATTCAGCACGATCCCATCCCAAGTCTTTCGCCATTTGTTCAATTTTCTTGTAACGAGGTACATTTGGATCGTCTCGAGGCATTCTAGCGTTGTCTCTTAATTTGTAACGCTTTGAGTCACCTCCTTCAGGCATCATCCAACCTCTTTTCGTAAATTCCAGCAAGTGTGGACATTCATTCATAAAATGATCTGTCGACTTGCACAAGAAACATGCCCACTGAGTTCCATTCGAACTTCTCGGTGTCGTATTTCTTTCAAATCTATTAGATTGATTTGAGGGACCACTCGGTGGTATCGAATTAATCATTCCTTTAGCATTTTCTTTGGCCATCTGTGCCATTACTGCTGTTAACTGCGTCATAATGTCTGCTCCTTCTTTGAAGTGCGACTGTAATGACTTCACAGCTCTAATTTCTTTCATGTTTGCCTCCATGAGGTCTTTATTCAACGCAACCATTTGCTGTTGTTCCTCCATCAATTCCCTTGGAATCAAACTTTCTAATTTAATTCCCAGAAGATCCTTAAATTCGTCTTCTACTTTGGGTTTCAATGCTTGAAGATAGTTCCTATCTGTCTTGGGAACATCTGCAGCAAACGGTAAATTAATGTGTCCCCTACTAAATGAATTAGGGTTATTAATTGGTGGGCTCGAAGAAGCAATGGAAAGTGTTTGATAGTAGTTATCAAATGAACTCCCAATCATATACTTCTCGGCCGCATTCATTACTTCGTCAATCTTGAAAGGGTCTTCCTTTCGTCTATCTGACATAGAAGTAACTGATACATCTTTCACAACTGTTTCTAGCACGCCTCTCCTTACTTCGGGAGTCATAGGTGCCAAGAACAATCTTACTGCATCACTATTTGTGATCATTTTTGGTTCGTCCATCAGCTTTTTCATTTCAGCATCGAAGAGGAGTCTGAAGATTCTCATCTTCTCCTGTTCACCTGCATCAATTGGATTAAATTGATGGACCAATTGTTCAAGCAATAATCTAGATCCTCTTTCGTCTCCTACAGATTGCGGAAACATATTCTTTAGATCCTTTTTAAATTGATCCCAATTCGGTTTCTTCACCGAATCAAAGACTCTTAATGCTTGTCTCGTTTTATAAGACGTCCATTCTAAAGCTAATCTCACTTTAGCCTCGTCAGATGTAATTCCTCCATGTTCAAATATGCTTTCAGTAGCTTCGAACCATGGTATCATTTGACTTGGATCAGTTATATCAAATAATGGTGCTGTCTTATACTTTCTTGGAAGTTTCGCACTGGCTTTATCAATCTCAGCCTTAGCTTCAGCTGACAACGCAGGCATTCCATAATTATTGGTAGTCATTTTGACTGGTTCAATCGTATTATTTGTTTGAGAGATAGTCTGATGTAACGTACAGTGACGCGCAAATCAAATCCACACCCCCCGATTTGGAAGTCATTACGTCACCGGCTTGGAAACCTTGCTTCGTCGTTCCACTACTCAGAATTACCCAATTTTGAGGTTTTATATGGCTTACATTGCTATGTATAACTGTGTAGAGTAATATGAATATGATATACTGTGTGTATTGTACAAGAAATGTTCAAGAAATGAGTAAAAACAGCTGGATTACAGTGAAAGTAATTGGATGATGTTGGGTGGATCAGTACTTCAACCAGCGGCCTCGATTTTCGAGCAGACCCTGTATTCGGTGTGGAAATGTATGGTAGAGGTTCCTAACAAATCGATTGAACTCCGCACTGTACCAGATTTGCTCGAGAGCAGCAAAAAGCTGGCTCTGTGAACGAGGACGAGGGTTCATGGTTTCAAGTCGCCTGCCAAGCTCGGCCCAAGCATTCTCGATAGGATTGACATCTGGGGATTTTGAAGGCCATTTCAGAGTGTAGATACCTTGATCTTTGAGCCAATCGCTGGTGGCATGAGCTGTATGTTTTGGGTCATTATCCTGTTGAAAAATCCATTGGTGGCCTTCATATCCATATTCTCGGACACTGGGAAGTAAGCTATCCTGTAGATTATGGGATTAGCTCTAGAATAGATGCTTTAAACAGTAGACGCACCTGTAAAACTTCGATATATCCAAAGCGATCCATTGTTCCATCAATCAAACGAAGTCTCCCAACCCCAGTCCGGGTCATGCAGCCCCAAACCATTACAGATCCTGTCCCCAAACCCCTTCTGTCCCTCTGATTGACTAGTTGCTCTGTGAAAGGATTCTGCCGCTTCCGTCGCCGGCACCAACGAAGTCCATCCGAGCCTCCATTGAGGACAAATTTGGATTCATCGGAGAAAAGGACTCTGTACTGCATCCACCCTTCGCGACAGGCCCAATTGCTCCATACACGGGCAAATGCGAACCGTTGAGCAAAATTATAGGCTGTAAGAATGACTTTACGGCGTCGTACAAAGCCATGAAGGCCATATCGACAGAGCATGCGACGAACAGTGCACTGAGGCACAGTTGGGAATTTCTGCCGTTGGAGATCAGCGCCGTCTGATGCACGACCAGCCTCAATCTCTGCAACTCCTAGGCGTGCCTCAGCAGATGGAATTCGACGATGGCGGCCAGGACGAGATGGTTTGTAGTAGCACCCATCTCTTTTTGCAATCCGATAGTTGTTCGCAATTGTAGTATGGTCAGCTGCAGTATTTTTGAACAATGGAGCTTCATTAGCAATCCAATTGAAGCTTTTATTTTGCTCATCACGATACAGAAGTATAGCACGACGTTTCGTAGGTGTTATTTTAATAGGAGGGAGGCCAGTGGGCTTTTTTCGTCGAGTCATGGTAGAGGATAAAACTTAAGCGCCCGGTTTCCAAATTGGGGGGTGTGGATTTGATTTGCGCGTCACTGTATCTATCAATCTAGTTGATTCAATCGACGTAGAAGATGTTGAAATTGACTCTGGAGCAATCAATTCAATTATATCTTCTTCAATATCAATCGGATTAATTTCTTTTCTCTTTCTTTTCGGATCGAGATTAGATTTCTTCAAATTCCTCGGCAAAGATGTGAGTCTTCCTCGAGATATAGATGATCCTGTTCCTCTTGAAACAGAACTTTCACGCGATTCTTCTGTCGTTATTTGAGAAGAGGATGGACGACTGGATTCGTTCGTAGGATTTAATAGGGATGTTCGAGCTGATGTGCCGAACGTAGATCTCCCAAATACAACTCCTGCTTTACGATATTCTTCCGGTGTCAAAACTCCTGCTTTCTCCGAATTCCTCGAAGTACGCGGTTTTCCTGATGAACTAATGTTGACAGTTCACAGAAATGGTATCACAAAGATCAACACACTTCTACCAAATA